AAAAACCAAATCCTTTCCCTTCCCTCTCTCATTCGCCGCTTCAAAGTCTTCTTTGGGAACAATGTTGTTCTTTATAATTCAAATTCCAGGGTACCTTATATTGTTGCTTTTTCAGTTCAACCCGGTCAGCCAAAACTTTCTCTTCTTACCTTCCTCCAGCACATTCTTTTCTGGTTGAGTTCTTCTTTGAGGTAGCCATTTCTAACCACTGCTGCAACTGCCTTCAGGAAAGGGAGTAATGGCCAGCTGGGGAGGAGAGATGCGACTCTCCTCGACCCTGCTGGCAGTCTCCCCCCTCTTCACCACCTCTATGGGATGGCTTAGCCCCAAAACCAGCCAGCTCGGGGCGCACCAGTGGCAAGCACAGATCAAAACTGTGCACGATTGCAGATTTCAGTCTGTCACCGAAGAAACTCATACCGGAACCTCGTCTTCATCCAATTATTGGTGTCATTTCCATAGGGCCTCTTAAATCCACCAGTTTTCATTATTTCCCCCCCAAAAAATGCTGAATATGTGTTTGTCCAGTCCAAACTCCATTGCATTGGCTGTATATACAGACAGTGCTGAACAGAAATTCTATTTCAGGTAGAATTTTTCCAAACAGCTTCAAATCGTCCACATAAAGGAGGATGTTTTTGATGTTTGATAGCCTGGCCTGAGTTATTCAGTATTGGTGACAAATGAACCAATGCTATGACAGGTAGTAGCAATATATCTATGGAAATTTTCAACCATCCAAGTCATGGTTCTCCTATTAGTGCTTTTCAAAAGGCAACTGGACTTTCTTGGTTTCTTTCCTTAAAAACATTTTGCTTCTCATCTGAAGAAGCTTCTTGGATAAGGAGTGAAATGTTTTCAAGGAAAAAAAAAACCCAAGAAAGTCCAGCTGACTTTTGAAAAATACTTTGGAACAGTAATGGCAATAGTTGAGTCTACTTGGAAGATTCCACTCTCACTATTAACCTCTTCCAATCTATTGCCATTGATCAGCAACTGAGTCTTCCACTGCACCATTGATCTTTGAAGAAAAATGATGAAGTTTCTACCAAGTCCTGTTATTTCTAGGCACTTGATTTATTATTATTATTGCCTAAGGATAACAAAAGTTTCATATGCAGACAAGGCTCCTTAGATTTAATTATCATATATAATTATCTCAAACACAATACTCTTCAGTTCCTGCACAGTCAACTTTCAAATACAGTATCAAGAAACATATTGATGGTTTAGCCTATCTTCCATTCCAAGGGTTGACTAGACCTTTGGAGAAACTATTTACATAAAAACCCAAATATCACCCAAATCTGCCTGCCCCCTTCTCTGATCTTCTTCTTCTTCCTAGCATATTCCCGCAGGTTCAGGGTCCGCTTTTTGGATCATTGAACACCATTTTGCATGGTCAGCTTGCATGGCTTGCATATCTTGCCCCCTTCTCTGATATGTAATTTGAAATTAAAGGAGGTCTTGAAGACATGGCTCTGCCCCCCATGCTTGGGGGTCCAGCAATGGTTGTGGGCTTTTTATAACGTGTTTTTTTTTTAAGGGTTGTTAATAATTTATATGTTTGCATATTGGTTTTTAACTTGCTTTAGCAACATTGCAGCCTGGTTTCATTTTAATAGACTTTTAACACATTGAAAAATTGTTTAACAGGATGTTGAGCATCTGACTGTTTTTTAATTTGTATCCAAAGCTTTTTTTTTTTTTTTTGAAACAATGGAGAAAGTAGCAAAAAAAAAGAATTATCTATGTTTACTTGTAGGAAAGCACACATGCTTTATGAAGAGGAAAGGGAAATTGAAACTGAGTTTTTCATGTGACTGGGAGGGCTGGAGCGTCTCTCCATGTTGGCTTCAGTAGTTTAGTACTATCGAACACATGGACTAAGGCCACTGTCTTGAAAAGGATGGTGTTCCTCTGGCTAACTATGCATCAACTTGAACTAATGTATGTTAAAAAAATATTACAGATAGAAATGAAAAGATCCATTGATAGCAATCGCCAGTAACTGAAAATTATTGTTTTTAGTTTTCCAACATCTTTGATGATCTTTTAAAATTAAACTAGCACTTTATTAAGATTTTTTTCATAAAATAAGGGTATCACATCTGGGCTGCAAAATCTGGAAGAACACTTGGTAGCAGCAGTAAGACTGTAATCTTATATAGAGATATAAGTAAATAGATGTATATATGCACATACACGCAAATGTATATAATTACCTAGGAAGAAGCCACTTAAAATGGGTAATTTAAAACTTTCCGTTTAATGTCTATCTAATTTCTTGAGTTGGGAGATTCAAGAATCATTTAGGCCTACTCCTAGCATTACCGGGGGGGAAAAGGTAGTCTTGTTTAATGACTGTCTCGTTTAGTAACTGTTTGCAGGTATAATGGGGATGAAAAAGTAATTGTATGACCAACCCTCACATTTAGCATCTTCACAGGTCTGTAAAGCAAAGGAAAACTGAAATAAGATTGTAAGCACAGTTGTGGCTTCACTGAGTGATCCCTGTACTTAAGAATCAAGTTGCCTGTCCCAACTGTAGTCACTAAAGACTAGAAATTAGATTTAACTATTAAAAATTAATACTTTTGATTTAACACAATAGCTACATATTCTGAGTTTTATATTTTACTAATTCCTTGTATGATTGAGCTTTTTAAAACTATTTTATTTGTAATGGAACCACACCAGTCTCTGGTCACTTTAACTACTGGGATAAGCACCACATCTTTTAACAGCACATTTGGATTTATCGAAAAACCAGTACTGTGGGCTGAACTCTCTGCTTGTTCCTGTCCAAGATTTCTTGTTTACATATTAAACAGGGATGTGCTCTGCTCAGTAGCTTATTTTTACTTATATGGGTCTTGTCACCAAAGAAGCCCTAGGTATAGTTCTCCATTTATATTAGAGCCGTGATGGCAAACCTATGGCATGTGTGCCGGTAGAAGTGGCACGCAGGGCCACTTCTGCCGGCATGTGAGAGGTTGCCTGGAAGAGCCTCACTGCACATGTGTGCACACCGCCTGCCTGCCAGCTGATTGTCGGGTATCTGGCACGCATGTATGGGAAGTGGGGGGCTGCAGGAGACACGCACGCATGTGCAGAGACATGCGGGATGGGTCACGCAGGGCCACTTCTGCCGGCACGCGAGAGGTCGCCTGGAAGAGCCTCACTGCTCATGCACGCACACTGCCTGCCCGCCAGCTGATTGTCGGGTATCTGGCATGCATGTATGGGAAGTGGGAGGGTGCGGGAGACACGCGTGCATGCGCAGAGATGTGTGGGATGGGTCACACAGGACCACTTCTGCCGGCACGCAAGAGGTTGCCTGAAAGAGCCTGGAGCACATGCACGCACGCTGCCTGCCCGCCAGCTGATTGTCGGGTATCTGGCACGAATGTGTGGGAAGTGGGGGGCTGCAGGTGACACATGCGCATGCACAGAGTTGTGCGGGATGAGTCACGTGTGCATGCTCAGAGGTTTCTGGCACACATGGGGGGCATGTATGCGCAGGGGCGTGGGGCCCCCATGTGCACTGCCTTCTGGGTCCTGGCATGCGAGCACGTGAGCGCAATTTTTGGCACTGGAGATGAAAAAGTTTAGCCACCACTGTATTAGAGGTTATGGATTCAATATAGTGACAAAAGTAGCCTTTTGATGATCTTTTGTCTTCAGAATAGATTAAACAAATTTCTCCTTAGATCAGGATGGCTTTGAAGGCTCTGTTTCCTGTAACTGTTTCAAGGAGTAGCATCTATATTTATCCTTTCAATACAGATATGATTATATCTGCAAGCTCTGATGTGAAAGCAAACACAACAGAGTAGTCCATTGCTTTGTGGCTGACTCCAATAAGTCTACTTTTTTCTTATCTCAATAAAAGACTGAAAAGGTTTAAGTATTTCAAGCACATTATGGGAAAACTGGCAAAGTACCCTGGTGATTAGTTATGAACTCATAAACACACCTCTCCCCTCTGTCTCATTCCCCAGCAGTTTTGTAATTGTTTTTCAAATCACACTGCAAAAAGTTGAAATTATAAATGACTTTTGGATGGACGTCTTAGTAAATGAAGTGGATGATAGCAAGTTAAAGCATGTCAGCACTCTTTCCCTCACCGCTGAGTTTGCACCATGGGCATCAAATGCCTGGGAGTTAGAGATAAGACCCTCCAGTTCATAAAACGTAGCTGTTTCCTCACAATCTGTTTTGGAAAAAAAAGGTACTAGCAGCCAGGCTGAAGGCCCACTGAAGCCCACAGCAGAACTTCACCTATCTAACACCAACAGCCACTTCTGGGAGGACCACACATGTTGTTAATGAGGGTTTGGTGTTTTCGTTAAAGGAACAAATACAGGCAATTAAACCTAAGCAACTGCACCATATGAAGTATCCCATCTTGGTGGTTGGTTATAGGTTTGGAGGGGTAGAGCAAGACAGTGGGACAAATGATGGAATAAGCTACTGGTTTTCATTATTTATTTCTCTTTAAGAATTTTCCCCAATGCACTGTTTTATTCATATGCAAAAGATGGATTTGTTCAATGATTATCAATGTTCAAGATACAGACCGGGAGGTGGGCAGCTGCCTTAGTAATTACCAAAATACAGCACATTTAGTGCTGAATTAACAAGCCTCAGTTTTTTTAAGAAATCCTAGGCATGTCAATCTGCATAAGGCAGCCTTCTCTTTGGATACTTTGCCGGCTAAGCCCCGTGTTATCCACAAATGACTATGGAATTAAATTTAAAAAAGCACTAACTCCTACTCATGAGATAGCTTCCCCAAGCTGGGGGTGCGTGCCAGAAGTCTGGCCCTTTAAGAAACCAACTCAGTCGTGAGAGATGCTGCTGCTGCTGCTACTGCTCAGGCTTGCTTAAATTCCCAAGTGTCCAGTTAAGACATAGACAGCTGTCTCTTTAAATGTCATTTCCTCCCATTGTATTTGAATCGTGATCAGGAAAGAGGATGTGAAACCAGAGAGGCTCAGAGGAGAGACCATCAGGGTTGGCTTCAATAATGGTATATTAGCAATAATAGCAACTACGGCGGCCCCGACCCGGGTCATAATGAAGGCGGAGGAGCCAGGGATGCTCCGCACTACCTCCGCAGTGCAGGAGGCCCCCTCCAGGCAGACGACCTAATCCAGGCAGCGAGGAGACTCCGGGGGTAAACACAGCGGTGACAGCTGAGCGCCGGCCCGCGAGTGCCAGCAGCAGCAGCAGCAGCAGCGGGCTCTTCCCAGCGGCCAGTCGCGCAACGCGAGCGGGAGGAGCGTCCCGAGGATGGGCGCGTAGCTCCGAAAGGATCGCCTCGCCTGCCCAGATAGCTCCGGAGTGCGTGCGGCTCGGGGGGCCGCGGTCCGTCTCGCCCTTGTCCGCGCGTCGCCCGCCCCCCCCCCGCCCCCGCCACATCCCTCCGTCCCTCGGCGTTACAAGCGGGCCACCCTGTGGATGTCACTGAGGGTGGAGGTGCCGTTCTGCTCGCCGCCCCCCCACGCCCCGACCCGACCCGACCCGAAAAGGCATTCGGGAGCTGCCAGCCTTTGTAGGGGATAAACCTCGTCACGGACAAGCCGAGAGTCACGACGGCCGCCGCCGCTACAAAGGAGCGACCCCTGCCAATGTCATCATCGGCCATCGAAAGGAAGAGCCTCGAGCCCTCCGAGTAAGTCGCGCCCGCCTCCTGCTCTTCGGGGTCTCCTTTACTCAGTGCCAACTTTCCCGGAGGGAGACGCGACCGCGTCGTGCGCGTCTGGAGCGGGCGGGCGGGCGGGAGGAAGCCCTGGAACGGGGGCGTCAGGCGCTGCTGGGGCTGGAGAGGAGGGCTTCGGAGGGCGACACAATGCGGCTGCCGCTTGCTCTTTTCTCTTCGCTTTCCAAGCCGCCGCTCCCCTCTTGCGACGGAGTGAGCAGCGTGGCCCTCCGCTTGGCTTAGACCTCGTCGGCTCGTGCTGAGCGCTGCTTTCTTCAGAGGTTGCGCCCCCTTTAGCAGGGCAGGCAGAGCCCAGAGACGCGCCGAAGTTCCCCCATTTTTGATCCGGGAGATAAATTGCCCGAGACCTCAGACTCTTATTGAGAGGAGGTGTTGGAAGGGGACCGGCGGTCGGTAGGATGATTGATGGGCGCAGTTCCTTCTGACCTGGAGATTTAGAGGTTGGCGGCGGCAAGAGCTGAAAGCGATTTCAGAGAGAGAGGCAGAGACAGAGATGGGGGAACCGAATACTTGGTGAGAGGCTGCGTGGTTTCTTTTCTTTCTCTCTCCTCGCGGCCTGCCCGGTTTAATGATCTGATGAGAGTGGTCGAAGATGAGCGGCAGTATCAGTATTAGATGAGAGTGTTCAGCGTCTCGATTGTTAAAATGCAAACCAGTTTGAAACTACAACGCGTTGTACCATCTCAGAAATGGCCAAGCACCGGCTTCTTGCCACATTCTTAGTCCGTCCTTCTCCCGATTAGCATAAACGTTATAAAATGCTTAAAGTATTAACAAAATTAAGTAAGGGTTTCTGGTGAATTTCTTACAAGGATCCAGTTACAAGAATTTCCAAAGGAATGCTGATACCTGCAGTTACTTCGAATTGTTGGTTACTAAGTCACTGGCGTTGAACTTGGGTTTTAAAGCTGCAATGCTTTTCACGCTTATTTGGGAATTACTTCTAAGTATATACACATGCATAATGTATGGCTATTCTTACCGGATAACTGCCATTTTATTAATTTCTGGGATGGAAAAGTTGTTATCCAACATCCTGCTTTAGTGGAATATACGTTTTAAAGACATGATCAACTGTTTCATGGGGATGGAGAAATAATGTTACTGCATTTGGTTTTTAAAGTAATATGATGGGGGGATGGAGAGAACATCGGATGGAGGAGGTAGGGAAACTTTAGAAACCAACTCCCAGCAACCACCCATTTGGAGAAACAGGTTGTTTTAAACACGATTTACCCTGAAAGCACTTTGATTAGATCAATAGTTTACTTCATTTGGATAAAATATTTTATATAAATATATGCATTATAGAAAATTAACAACCCCCTTTTGCATTTCTTACTATTGATTGTTCCCATTTCCTATCTTCCCCTGTACTTCAGTATACTGAGTTATACTTTAGGCTTCAATCCTATATTCTGACTTCAGCCCACAAAACTGAATGAGATTTTATTATTAAGGAGAAGTGCTAATTTTCTGTTATAAATAACCAAAACAAGAAATTTATTACTATAGCACCTACAGTCCAAAACATTAAAAAATATATATGAGAATTTCATTCAAAATTCAAAATCATGGAATGAAAGTGCTTTTAAAGCATTTATAAAAAAAAAAGATATCAACTTAAGATAGTGGAAGTAAACTAAATGTTAAAAGTGCTTCCCTTCTTTGTTTTTCTGCTGTTTATATGGACCTACAAGAAATACTGATACCTTCTGCTACTTAATTTCATTGAACAGAATACACGTGATTTGCTTACTACCATTTTTAAGTCCAGGGATGCTGTCCTAATGGGATATTTTAAAAAATTGTGTGCAATTATTAATAATTGTAATTATTATTATAATTAGATAAGCAAATAAGACCCAATGTTAAAAAAATAAATTTTAATATTTTGGAAATATATACTACTGAGCTATATATGGACAGTCTTCACTGCAAGCGCTAGAAGGATTTAATAATAATAAACCACCAAATATAGAAACATTTGTTTATAGGTTTGGAATAAAATAGGATATTTGTCTTTATAATACCAATTAAAATTTTAATGTGAAGTATCTGAAAACTTGAGCATGGTCAATACTTAATCATTTACTTCCTGATTAAACTGGAAATGCTTTTTTAAAAGGTTTTGAAAAAGTGTATTTGTTTTTCATAGAGCCAAAAGATTATAACTGGAAGGGTCTTATTTGGCCACTTTTCTATTCAGTACATTGAAATCAATTCCCTACTCACTGCAAAAATTAATTTTGATTTAAATTAAAGCAACCCTGACAATTACAGTATCTATCCAGTCCCTGTTCAAGACATCCAGCAAACCACTTCCCAATTAATTTTCCTAATTATTTAGATGCGATAAAAATGGTATGTAGGAGAATGAGTCAGAATGAGCATATTTAGTATAAAAACTATATTTAGCAATATAGCCAAAGCATAGGGAGAATGTTATAGTTTGATTAGAATGTAAATTATTGTCATTAATTTTGAAAATCTGAGCCTTTCTTCTTCAAGGTTTATGAGCTAAAGGTTAAATGTGTGTTAAAATGTCTTACTTTGAGCTGCTGACTGTGCGAGCTGCCAGGGTTCCACTTGAGAATTAATTCTCAACAGCAGTTATACAATAGAATGTCAAGGGAGCAAATCAGGTAAAGGAAGATAATAGAGTAACATTAAAATGTCTTACTCCTCTCATTTAATCGTGACTTTAGCTCTTGTTTCAGCTTAATGGGGAACGAACTGCTGCTTACTAATACAGTAGGCTTCTCCTGTAATCATTCTACCCAATAGTTTTCAACTGAATATTATTCTATTGCTCCTTTAAACACTGCTTTCTGCTCATTTGGGAGGAACAGCAGAATAATAACAGTAGTAGTACCAGTAGTGAGAGCCAGTGTGGTGTAGAGGTTGTGAGTTCTAGTCCCACTTTGGGCACAGAGCTAGTTGGGTGACCTTAGGCCAAGCTTACCCTCAGCCCGAGGAAGAAGGCAATGTCAAACCACTTATTTTGCCAAGAAAACTGGAGGGATTTGTCCAGACAGTCACCTGGGAGTTTACACTGATTTGAAGGTGCAGAAAAGAAAAAAAGAGGAAAGAAAGTATCCATAGTACCCTTCAGTATTACCCTTCCATGAAATTAACAACCTTCAATGAAATATTTCAAAGGTCTCGGAGTGATAACTAAGACGTTTTTAAGGAAAGGATTTTTAAGAACATAAGATTTTCTTACGATGAAAATGCTACACAGGGTTCAAAGTGAATATACTGTATGTTACTAATACATAAGAAACTACTGCAGTTGATCCCATAAAACATTATATTGAAGGGCCATTTCTATTTACAGTACTTTAGCCAGACTCAGCCTACTCTACCCTGTGCTATCACTGAGGGAAAGTATGTGAGATTAGAAATGTCCCCAACCTCCCAGGCTTTACAAAGGCTTAGAAAATGTATGATTTCACAGAACACATGGATGTTGACAGAATAAGAACTGTTAGCTAAATGTAATTTTCTTTCAATAATTTCATTTAATTTTAAACCACACTAGTTTTTTGTTGAAGTGGACAGTATTTAAATAATTATATAAATAAATAGCATATTGTTGATAACCTTCATTCTGGCTAATGCAGAATACTGTATACTATATTTTTACTCAGGATACTGTAAGTTTTTATGACACCAAAGAGGAAGATCTCATCCTTTTTCACAAGCAATTCTTTTATATTTCATTATCAAATATTCAGTATTCCAGAGCTGTTTCACTGAACTTTTGAGATATACAGCCCATACAGAGATATTTGCCTTTAACTATTATTTTAATTATTCAAGTTTTAAAATTTCAATAAACACAAACTTTTACCTTCCTTTCTTAGTGGCCCAACTCTGGGTTCTGTTATTTATTTCCTGAATTTGCTATAAGGAGCAGTGTTTAAAGTAATTTAATATCAATAAGGGCTATGAAGTTGTTTAATTTTCTTTTACTTCATTTAAGCAGAATATTGTCTGCAACATTAAAGTACCAAAGAAAAAGGATTTGCAGACTCTGCTCTTATAGAATGGACCATCTACAAATGACAAAATGCAAGCCCATTCATATTTTTTTCTATGTGTTTATTAATAAGTTTAAAGGCTTTTTACAATAAATCTGCAGGGGCCTTAAACTACAATCTTACTAAATAAAACTCCTCCTAAATGCATTGTTATACTTTGTAAAATCTTTCTGTTATACTTACTAGACAGTAAAATAAATGTAAAAATTAACAATTATTTGATTATTTTAAGGGCAAATAACCAAGAGTGTAATAATTTTCCATATAAAAATACACTAATAAAGCACAGTGACCAAAATGCCATTGCTTACCTCCATTTCTTATTAAATAATTCATTACAATATTCAGTGTTGTGTTTGGCAAAGTAGGAAAGGAAAGCAAATAGAAAAAAGATTTTAGAAATAGGATTGCCTTTAGTTCTAAGATTTTTATACAATCAACATTTAATTATTATAGATCAAGACTGCATAGGGAAAGCATTCGAGACACCATTTTCCTCAGCTCAGAACTATGATACAGCTTCTATTCAATAAGATGTTGGTTTTTTTTAAATAAGTAGTTGGCTAAAATGTCTGCATTTTGTTTATTACGGAAATACTATAATATTTGTAGTTATGAAATTGGGTTTTACTAGTTGTACACAACAATATACAGTAAGTTTAGCTTTAAAAAAAACACTTAATTTATATTGCTTCTGCTAAAGATAATGCAAGCCATTTTAGTTTCACCACCACTGAAGAGTTTCCTTAGCTTTTCCTCTCTGTCCTTTTCCAAGTGTTTCTACCACCACTATTCTACATTTCTGAATGTGTTAGCCTGGAAGAATACAATCCCACTTTAACAAAAAGGCAAGCTGAGATGGTCACAATTTCAAATTGTATACCCAAAGCTATATCCTTATCTGTTATTGTAGAAAATGTCTGAGTCTTCTATACTCTTGAGCAAGGTAAAATTTTGGTCCTAATTAGACTTTCTGCAGGTTGGAATTATTGCTTTGATTTGTTTCAACCAGGGAGCCAGTGGATGAGGTGCTCCAAATCCCTCCTTCCTTGTTAACATGTGGAGGTTGTCAGCAAAATATTGGGGATCGATACTTCCTTAAAGCCATTGACCAGTACTGGCATGAAGATTGTCTGAGCTGTGACTTATGTGGGTGCCGACTTGGAGAAGTGGGAAGGAGACTATATTATAAACTGGGTAGAAAGCTCTGTCGAAGAGACTATCTCAGGTAAGCTACTCACTCCTTATCCCTTTGCCTTGCTGATAGTTTTCTCTCACAATTCTGTAGAACAATGCGTCTCAACCTCAGCAACTTTTAAACATGCATGGACTTCAACTCCCAGAATTTCCAGCCAGAGTTAAAGTCCATGCATCTTAAAGTTACTGAGGTTGAGAAACATTGCTTTAGAACAAAGCTAGGATCACCTGCGAAATTTGAACACATCAGTACCAGGTTGGTTCAGCTTGGGCTGAAAGGACATATATGATGGCTTGAAAGGAACTAGTCTCAAAACCCAATTTGCATAAGCCTTTTGCCAGATTAGCTTGAGAAGAGGGAACTCTTTCATCAAAGGCTGATTTGCTCTAGAGCAGGGGTGTTGAAGTCCACAAGTCTTAAAGTTGCCAAGGTTGGACACCCCTGCTCTAGAGTGAAGCTGAAAAAAGATCCAATCCTTGAAAGTGATGCTAGAATGACAACGTTACAGACACAAAGTGGAAAGGAAGCAGAATAGTGACAGAGGGCTTATGAGTCTAAGACTGACTAAATAGTAAATGTATGTTCAAGACATTAGGGTAGGGGGATAATAGTGTTGCCAGTTGCTTTGGACTTTACAAAAAGTATGGGTCAGGATTTCAAATTGATAAAATGGCTTAATAATATTAATTCAAGGCAAAACAACTGATCAGTTGCCTTTGTGCAGTCTCAATTATTTCCATTAATTTAGTACTCCCCATGCAGTCTTATTTAGTGAGCCACTGATTTTGGTAGGAAAAATATACCCTGGGACAAGAATATAATGTGAATAAATTCGAAAGTACAAGTAATTCTTGACTTACAATCATTCATTTAGTGACCGTTCAAAGTTACAATGATACTGAAAAAGTGAAATGACTGTTTTTCACACTTACAAGTATGCTCACATGATCAAAACTTCACATGATCAAAACTTGGATGCTTAGCAATAGTCATGTATTTATGACAGCTATAGTGTCCCAAGATCATATGATCACCTTTTGCTACCGTCTGATAAGCAAAGACAATGGGGAAGCCAGGTCCACTTAACAACCGTATTACTAACTTAACAACTGCAGTGATTCACTTAACAACTGTGGCAAGGAAGATTGCAAAATGGGGCAAAATTCACTTAACAACTATCTTGCTTAGCAATGGAAATTTTGGGCTCAATTGTGGACATAAATCAAGGCTTACTTGTATGAGCTTCCAATGCACATTATGCCGCTAGGCCTTTAAAAGGCCCTATGTTTTTTTTTCTGAACTGAATAGTTGAAAACCAAGGCCAAATGAACAAAGCAATATAACATTAACATATTTTAAAAAATTAACCAATATTTAATTACAATGTTAAAATTGCATTACTGGATCAAGAAATGTTATTCTCTCTTAATATCAAATTCACAGTGGAGGGATGGGAAGAAAAGTGCTAACTTGCTATTTTTTATAGTTGTGTACCACTTCTCATTATTAGGAATCTCAAAACAGTATACAAATTGCTCCATTTTAAACCCCCCCCCCCCCCCAACAACTGTCTTGTTTGAATAAAGGACTAGCTTTACATGACGTAATTTGCAGCAAACTTCCAGAATAATTCAATACTCCCAGATAATTGTATCCTATTTCCACTGGCTCAATATTTTCAGAGATGGTAGAAAATCTGGACTGTTAAGTTAATACACTTCCATAACTTGTAATTGGGTATGTCCCAACTTTTCACATTATAATGTGTGTCAATTATTTGCATCTTCTTAATGTGTTCCATAGATACAGCCTGCTCAACTGTGTTTTCTAAAATTTGTAATTCAAGTATAGTACAGTAAGTATAGCATAGTATTATTAGTATTAGTATGATATAGTGCACTATATACTCTGTCTACAACTTTTTTAAACAATATGCTGACAATTATTTATTATATTATAAACCAAAAGGTGACATTTAGAAAAACACCCATATCTTAACAGGCATTGTACTATTGCTTTGGACGAGTAAACAGTGACATCTCTTGGAAGACAAGGGAGAAACATGTATCATTTTTATGCTGAGAATTATTGTCCCTGTCCCTGTATTTAGTTTACAACAATATTTGAAATTAATAGGCTTGTTCCAAAATTAATCATATTAACACACAACATATATTACTGATATAATAAAATATGCCTAATGGAATATAATACAAAAATATACAAGTAGTCATTGACTTGCAATCATAATTGAACCAGGAACTACGGTCATAAATTGTGCTGATTAGGCAGATTACCACATGACCCTGACTGATCTTACAACCTTTTTGCAGTCATTAAGTCAATATGGCAGTTGTGATAGCATTAGCAATAGCATTTAAGACTTATATACTGCTTCACAATGCTTTACAACCCTCACTGAGTGGTTTACAATGTCAGCATATTGCCCCCAACAATTTGGGTCCTCATTTTATGGACCTCAGAAAGATGAAGGCTTAATCAATCTTGAGCCAGTTCAAACTTCTGGCAGGGGTCAGAGATAGCCTGCAATATGCATTCTAACCATTGCACCACCATGGGTTAACTGTAAAGCAAATGCTGTAGTCGTGAAATGAATGCCATGGTCTTTAAGTGAATCCATTGTCTACAATGGGTGTTTTTTGCTGGAAACCAGAAGCAAATGCCAATTTCTGGCAAACAAATTATGGTCACAAAGCTGCAGGACTCTGCAAACAGTGGTAAAAATGGACCAGTTGCCAAGCACCCAAAATATAATTACATGAATATGAAGAGTGTGTGTGGGGAGGGGGTATCTTCAAATCCAAGTCAAAGTCCTGGGGAAATGTGTTGTAACTTTGACTGGTTGCTAAGTTATAATAGACTTGAAAAAAAGTTAGGTCCTGTCACCCTCACTCATTGTGATGTAGATGCATTCAGATGCTTGGCAACTGGCTTATATTTATATCCCACCATCATGTGACTGTGTTTTGCAATATTTTTTTGCCATTTCCAGCAAAAAACCCACCCATTCAATAAGATGGATTAGGAGTTACAACTACAATTTGCTTAACAATCACAATGACCCACTTAAAAATGGTTGTAAAATCAAGCACATTGACACGGTGACTTGTCTTATGACTGCAATGATGTACAACCAAAATTCCAGATTATAAGATAAGTAAAGGACTACTTGTATCTGCTTGTGTTAACATAACCAGGAATTATACAAAGTATGATGGATTTTACAATTCCTCTTTCTCTGTTCTATAATATTCATAAGAACATGGCACATTATGCTAAGCATTATTTGTAAAAATACTTTGACTCATCATAATTTATTTATTTGATTTATTTATTTGATTTGCCAATTGTTTACCAGATAATAAGTATAAATGTGTACATAGTTGTGAATACATGAAATGGGTACATATAAGAAAAATAAAAGAATAAGAGAAACAATAGGACAGGGACGGTAGGCACGTTGGTGCACTTATGCACGCCCCCTACAGGCCTCTTAGGAAAGGGGTGAGGTCAATAGTAGACAGTCTAAGGTTAAAGTTTTTGGGGTTAGGGGAAGAAACTACAGAGTCGGGTAGAGTATTCCAGACATTGACCACTCTATTGCTGAAGTCGTATTTCCTGCAATCAAGTTTGGTGCGGTTTACTTTGAGTTTGTATCTATTGTGTGCTCTTGTGTTGTTATGGTTGAAGCTGAAGTATTCATTGACAGGTAGGATATATGACCACAATCCATGTGGTACTGATGTGAAGATCAATCGTAAGCAATCTGCACACCAAACTCATTGTCATCCTACTTAATGTTTCTATAAATGTTTTATTTAATATCAAATTCAAATTTGTACCCCTTTAACAATTTGACTATTTTAATTTGGATTACTCAATGATCAATCAACCTGCAGAAGATTTTTAAGGGTCAGTAAGAAGAAAGAAGGCAAATTAAGAATAGAAACTATTTCCAAACTCATTTGAGATCCTACTTTAATATTGGAAAGCTGAGCTGACAGAGTCAGCTGTGGTGCCATTGAAAATATTGTAAAGCTTTTCATTTGCTTGCTTACTTGCTTTTTCAAGATGTTATGACTATATTTCTCCAATAGATGCTATGCTCTTGTGGACTATGATATGTCCTTAGAGTTATCATGGTACTATAAGTAGTCCTTATTAGGTGACCACAATTGGAACCAGCAACTCGGCTAAGCAAAGCATTAGTTAAATGAAATTGCAAATGTGCTTACAATATTACTTTAGGAGTCCTTTACAGACCTGCAGAGAGCATAAATAACAACGACTGGTCAAAAAGTTAGTTTTTTTATCAGTGTCATAATTGAAAATAGTCATTATTTATTTATTTGCATCCCACCTTTATTATTTTTACAAATAGTTCAAGGCTTGAACATACTTAACATACTCTTCCCATTTTCTTTACAACTGTAAAGTGAATTGGGCTGAGAGAGGGACAGGCCCAAAGTCATCCAGCTGCCTTTCGTGGCTAAAGTAGGACCTGAGTACTAAATTGAATTAGTCAGTCAATAAATTAGGACTACCTATATATTTTGTTTCTTCTTTGTGTTTTCTTTTCCCTTCTCCCAGAACTTCAGACTATCCATACATTTGCTTGAAGCTCTAATAAAATGTCAAATACATACACTTAACTTTGTGTTAAATCCACTCTGTTAAAATGGATTATGGAACATTAACGTTGGACTTTTTTTTTTCCAAAAAGGCTTTTTGGCCAAGATGGTCTCTGTGCCTCCTGTGAGAAGAGAATCCGAGCCTATGAGATGACCATGAGAGTAAAGGACAAAGTGTATCATCTGGAATGCTTCAAGTGTGCTGCTTGCCAGAAACATTTTTGCGTTGGTGACAGATACCTTCTCATAAACTCAGATATAGTATGTGAGCAAGACATCTACGAGTGGACTAAGATCAATGGGATGATATAACTCACTTGTGCCTCATAGTCTCAAATACATTTCATGAGTGACATATATTTTTGCCTATGGTGAGGTTATTGCTCACATCTATATGTTTTCTTTAAGGAAGGGGGAAATGGAATAGAATACATAGGCATTGCATCTAATAAAATAAGTGATGATTGAATAAAATACATTATTTCTTTTAGTAAATATGCTGTGATAATAAACTGACATTATTAGAGGTATTGTTCGAAACTAGAGAATCAACCAATACAAAGCAACAATGGATACTTTTAAACTGAAGTGTTATAGGTAACTTTGTGGATTTATCTTCTCTAACCTGGTTCTTTTCAAATGAATTGAGTCTACAAATCCCTAGAAATCTAGCAATTGCTGTCCTAAGACTTTTGGTACATGCTGGCTTCAAGGGTGACCTTAACACCCACAGACAAAATTGTTCAATTAAATGTTGCTTATTTCATATCTATCTAAAATATAATCCCACCTCTAATCTTAAATGTAAGAGTATCAGGAGAGTTGTATGTCTGAAAAGGAAGGGGCCTCCAAATAAGTGTAGTTTAATAATACTCTTCTTTTTGAAAATGAAAGTACAATTTTTGTTCCAGTGCAAAAGATGATACCTCATCAGATATAATTAAATCTTTATGAAATCCATGAGAGTTAATACATGCAACTGGGGAGGGAAGAAAGATTGCAGCCTTAATTGGTAATTATTTCAAATAATGAAGATGGATAGCTGCCTTTTGTTAATATTGTTGGAAAGTGAGGAATTCCATTGCTCCTTTCTGTACAATATTTTTTTAAAGTTCTTCCACTATTTTATTAGAAAATGTAAATACATTGTTGTATGTAGTAAGATACTGCAGACTTAATTAAATAGACTTGATCTAAGAGTTGTGACATTTTTCATTCAATATACTGGCAGCTTTTTATTATTTTAGTGCAATAAATATATAGTTCTTGTATGGCTCATTTATTTGTACACAGAGTATCTTCCTTTGAGCTGAAGATTTTGTTTGACAATTTAACAACACTGTTAATCTCACTGTATTAAATAGATTCAAAGGAGAAAATTTAAATATTCCTAATAATAGAAGAGGTTGATTTCCCCAATCTTTGGGAGATGCAACCATTATTTATCCTTTATCCAATTATCCAATAAATATTGTAGGTGCCTGTCACATTAATTTATGATGGGACTAGTTATGAATTATTTGACTCCTCTATGCTCCATACATATGCTCCCTAAAATTTAGATTATTAAAATGAGATGATACTTTAGCTGTGATTTTGATATTATTCTTGCTTTTTGAGAACAGAAACATTTGCAAAGTGATCCCTGACATGTAGCAATGCGCATCAGCTTTCACATCTTTCCAGACCAGCCTTATGCATATTGATATGGAATTAAGTTTTTCAGTATTCAGTGAGACTGTATGTTCTACAAAGGATACTTAGGATTGTAATTATTTTTTCTTTATTCATTCTTTAACAGTTACTTTCAAAATTATGAAGAGCTAATGCAGCTTTAATAACCACCCCTTAATTCATCCATGAAGTGTAGGTAATTTGCCATTTTTCTTGAAACTGAAACGCAAGTTGTTTTTGCACAAAGGCTGCGTGCAGTTCAGTCACTCATTTAGTACAACCCCCTGAATAAGCATTAAAGAAATTCTGGTGTAATCTTGCCATTAATTTTATATAAGCAGAAAGGTTCAGTTATAGCAGAATTCATAGTGATTAATAAATCATGCTAAAAATATGAATTTCCAACAAATTTGATATATTTATTGTGGAGTGGAAGCTCTACCAATTGTTTAGAGAAAGAATGTCTTGATGGGATATTATGAGATGAAGTTTTTAGTGAAACAAAATTGAACAGGAAAGTGGAATTGAAATTGAACAGATTCAGATATCAATCTAAAATGTCTTGGGCATTGTACTTAAATTTGTAAAACCACTAATACTTAAATTTGTAAAACCACTAATATTTGTAAAACCACTAATATTTTATTTGGTCTAGAAGTTACTTACCAATCTGTCACCATTTATACCTGTACTAAAAAATCAGCCAAATAATTTTGCCTACAGATCTAATGTCCTAATATCCCATACATTCTTGGAGGAAAGAAAACTGTGACAAAGAAAGTCACCCATTCTGTAGAAATGTCTTATTTACCAAATAAGATAATTTTCCCTTCCACCCTCCAAAAATTATCTTCAAGTTGGAATCTTAGATCAGCTGAAAAAAAAATTGAATTATTGAAAAATGAATAGTTAGAATGCAGAAATTGTTGCAAAAGTGGCTGCTGAAAAAATGGACTTCTGAAAATTATACATTGGTTCAGAAAAGATACTTCCCTTGTGAATTTTAATTCTTTCATGGTTCCATAATAAGGCTTCTCTCTTTTTTTTGTTCAGTTACCACATACCTACTGTTTACCTTTATCCAGTACATTCCATTTCACTCTTTATTCCTTGTAGGTATGTCCTAATACTATTCTTTTTTTGTTGTTATTGTTTTTATTAGAAGTACATTTTTGTGTGTGAGTGTCAATATGAGGTTTGTGCATCAAAGAGAGAATATTTGGGATATACTGATGGGAATTTCAACTAATTTTAATTCTGTTATTATTATTTTTTGTCCTTGGCCTATCCATTTTGAATTTTGGATTGACAAATAGATAAAGATGTCACCTGCAAAGTTTATGGATTATGGCAGGCAAGGATTGGTTTCAGCCAGAATTAATAATTCTTGCTTAGGTTGGCAAGAAATGGAAGCTGGCTCATTGTTCTCTCTCTCTTCCTCCCTCCTCCCTCTCCCCCTCTTTCTCATCTCTTGTGCATATAGTAAGCAAATTTGTAGGGAAATAAATAAGATTTTCTCACAGGTTTAGCTATCCTCACATGTTTCTGAAGAAATTACTGAATTTATTAAAATTAACATGAAATTGCATTCTTCTACATACTTGTTATGGCAAAGTCATGATGAATCATTAATTATTTCCATAGATCTGTATGAAAAAAAAATATTTATAAAAGAAGCACTATCACAACAAAGGTATTTTGGAGAAATTCATTTTTTAAGTTCCATTAAACAGCTAATTAAACCATACTAAATGAAATCAGTTAACAGCAAAACGGACATGGATACAGGATTACAATATATTTTGTCTGAATTCAATATAAGTTTTAAAAGCCTATCCATTTTTTATTGTTCCCATTATTCAATGTCATGCTTTGAAGATAAAAGCATTACCTGCAGTATTACTTTTTCCGCTGTCTCCTTGGTTGGAGAAAATGTACCATATCGAAACATAATGAAACTTTTAAATAGACAGCATAAATGCAGCCTTAACATAAGGCTGGCTAAAATAGCTGTCTTTGTGTTCCTGTTCCCTTTCTCAAGGTAACATTGAGTTCTCAAAATTATTGTAGCCTAAGATCACATAATTTGAATTCTGCATTCAGCAGCACAAAATACAATCTGCCAAATTCGTAGCATACAGTAGTTAGAAAAGAATACTGTAAATATTAATTCATATAACTGCACTCTAGTAATATAGATCACAATTTAAAAACACTTTGGATATTATGTATGTTCTCTTCCTGTCCCTGAAGAACTTTTCATTAATATACAAATGAAGTTTTCATCCTAAATTTTAGGCTTACAAATATGTGCTAGAATACACATAGATTGCCTAGGATCTAGGTTTAAAAAGAAGACAGTTCATAAAGTCTGATAATTGGTTCCACTGAATTACAATCCACAATAATTAGTCACTTCAAAACATATGCATTTAAATAGTAATCTACAAAAGAGCTAGCATGGTACAGTGTAACAATGTATAGTTGTCATCTCTATATGTTAGTTTAATATTTTACCCTTTTTAGTGAATGCTGGCTGAAGTGCAGGCAAATAAAATCAAATAGACAATTCATCTTTTTCTTTACTCTAAGAAAATGAAATACTTCATACCTGCTCTGTGCTAAAAATAATTTATGTAATAATCAGTGAAAATATTTTAAGCAGAGATTTTTATACTATGTATTTTTATTATGGAATAATTTAAATTAAGGATAGGTTTACATAAATTATCACGTTGTAATAAGCCAATTTTTGTCCTATAAACCATTATTTTTTGTATCTAAAAATCCTATAAATAAAATTTCTTAATGTTGTTCTGCTGTCATTTTGAAAGGACCCTTAAGGCTCAGTGCTTTATAATTTCAGATTAAAATTCCATTTGTTTTTAATTAGATAAAACTGATTTGATTTTAAATAGCTAGTTATTATAAATTCTTGCTGAATGTTACTGGTTATTGATATAAAAAAATAATCTAAGACCTTTAGTCTTCAGTTTTTCTGCCTAATTAACTACTAAACTTTGCCTTTTCAGGGTATGATATGCAATCTTTTAGTTTAAATTTCCCTACCTGAAACTTTAGAGTTTAACTAAAACTGCTACTGTCCACAGCCAGGATCTTGAGTGCTTGCTAGGGTTGATGGAAATTGTAATTTATCTGGGAGACATTACAGATATCTGGAGATATCTGCCTTAATGGTTACATGCCCCTAACGTAAAAAAGGAAGAATAATTTGATCACTGTTACTGACTTTGAGAGAAGGACCACAATTACGTTTGAGCCCAATTTCTTCTCTATTAAAAGTGCAAGTGGGATTATTTTTCCCACCTTCCCCCAATGAGACTGTTTACATTTGGAATGTCATTACCTTTACCCTCACAACAATAATCCTGTAAAGTAGATTGGGCCAAGAGAAAATGAGGTCTCATAGCAAAAATTGCATTTGAACTTAGGTCTCTTCACCTAAGTTCATAACCTCCAACTTCTGATACCAGTTCAAAAATCAACATTGTGAAAGTCTCCAATTCTCCTCAACCTCCAAATAGGTTTGTAGTTATGATTCTAGAGATAAGCTAGAAGTGCTTTAGCAGTGCCCAATATAAATCACAAAAGTTGAAAAGTAACTCAGAGGAAATTATATAATATATATTTTAAACAACTGAGTTTTACTTGTAAACTCTATAGCTGTCATTCTCCAGAATTTTCCACTAGAGCTCTTTTTTCTCAGCAAGCACTGGTCTTTTTTATTAAATTTGATTTATGGTATCTTCATTATTAATATGAATAATATGGAATTCTCCTTGAGTATAAGCTTTCCTTTCCAGCAAATTAAATTCATAAAACGGCAACAAGTTTCAGAAGAGTTCTGCAGGATATACCCAAGACTTTCAGGGGCTCACTGAGGTAGATCTTTTAATACTGTAAAACAAAATATTCAAATAATGCACAATTATGGAATCTGTATCTACAAAATATAATAATGAATTTCAATTAAGAAATTTTAAAGAGGGTTAGCAATGGGAAAATATTAATAATAGTTATGATAAGTATATATCACCACAAATGTCAAAATCAATTTGCTTGAGTCACAATATGGTAATTAAAGTGCTGGACTAAGAGAAGGAGATCAAGATTTTAGTGTCGTCGTCCCCTTAGTCCCAGAAGCCAGCTCTGTTACCTTGGGTCAGTCACTCCTTATCAGCCATAACTGACATCAGGCTGTATAACAAGAAAAATAGTAAACAGAATTCCTCATTATATCATACATTGATAGTTTCACTGTAAGAATTTGAATGAAGGTAAATGTTCCCCTGTCCAGTCATGTCCAATTCTTGGGCCTGATGCTGATTTCCGTTTTTTGGCCAAGGGAGCCAGCGTTGTCCAAAGACATTTTCCATGATGATGTGGCCAGCATGGCTATATGCCAAAGGTGCATGGCACGTTGTTACCTTTCCACCAAAGTGTTATCTATTTATCTACTCACATTTGCATGTTTTTGAACTGCTGGGTGGGGAGGAATGGGAGCTCACCCTGTTGCGCGGTACTCGGGTCTCAAACCCAGACTGTCCTGGGTCCCTACTG